TCAAAAATATACGCAACTTGAAGGCAGAGCCCTCGGCTACCCGTCTTTCCCTCCGTCACATTCCTCCTCCTTTTCGTTCCTAACCATCCTCACATCCCCCGACGGGCAACTGCAAAACTGATGCATGTCCAGTACTAGTTGTGGTAGACTATCTCCACGTCTTATTCTTGTCGGTTGTGTTGTCTGTGTTGGTGTTGGTGACCAGGAGGGAGACAATCAAGCAGTACTAATCATTTCGGTAAATCTGCGCGGGATGCTTGCCATGATGCCCTTGCCGGCTGTTCTGCAGGGCAAGCAGCAGCTGTGGAGTGGGAGACGGGCGTGGGACCCGGCGAACTTGAAGGGGCTGCTGGTTACAAGGGAAAAGGCAACGTGAGTGATATTGGGGTCGACGGGAGTGGTGGTGGCGCTGAATTGCAAGTCCTCGAGTTTCGGGTGCTAGGGGAAGGTGTATCGGGGAGAGATTCGACTGCGGATGATGCAGTTGTGAAAGGGCCCGCGGTTGGGGATACCGGCGGACGTGGTTGCGAGGATGAGAGCGGAGGAGGAGAGATGAGGCAATCCCCTAGAGGGTAAACATGGCGGCAATGGCTGGCTGGTCGCGTTTCGGAGCCTGGGGGGATTCTCTACGTTTACAAGGCCGAGAGGGTGGAGGTTTTCTCAGAAGGAAGGTTGGGGTTTCCATGTTCAGAGCCGAGCGAACAGTCATGGATAAATACATAGGTGCGTTCGCGGGCGACTCTGTTGGCAGGTAGATTTGCGTTGGAGAGAGCGTGCGGCATGGGCGTTTAGCCTGTGAATATAGCTTTGTGGGAGATGCGGGTTGCCGTAGTATTTACAGTTAGGCCGTCCCCTGCCCGCGCGATTGCTTGGTCCTTGAGTGAAGCCATGTAAACGTAGAAAGGGGTTAAGGGAGATGGAGTGTTGACGGGGGATATTTGCCGTTTACGAAATCTGGACCAAGGAGATTGGTGATAAATGCATAGTGCCATTTGACCCCGCAACCTGAGGGCGAAGATGAGATGCCGAGTCCTGCTGCGGGTGGCCCTGCCCGGTGCCTTGGTTACTCGAGTCTGGTATTTTCATCCGAATTAACATTTTACCAACGGCCTGGCGCTGTCGGCTGCCCATGTTGACCATGGACCTCTAAGTTTGAGAGTCTGAGCTTGGCAGCATAGGGACCGTCAGGGGCTCATTCAGGGGCACCATGCCTTGGCTCTCCAAGTCTCTCGCCAACGCAACGTAAGCAAGAATTCGCACAATATTTTATTTCCATACTCTCCGATAAAGCCAACGCTTTTCAATTCACCTCCTGAAGAGCAGCCCGTGCCCTCCTGCGGGACCAGGCCCCTGTGGTCCTCTTCCGGGGCTCGACTACCTGAGCTCATACTTTATGCTCAGAGCGTTGTACTCGGTGTGCAAAGAGTCTGACCTCCGTTCAAGATATAACAGAAGCACCTCGCTGTTATGCCTTCCCCCGCCGCCCAAGTAATGAATCCACGGCATGCATACGCTCCTCTCCAGCGCTGCAATATCTCCTTCGTCTTTGTGCTGGACCCAGGTCTGGCCAGCATCGCCACTGATGTGCAGACTTAGGTCCGCAGACTCTACAGGTGGCTTCTGCGCTTCATCCCGATATGCCACGTCGGTCATGGCGGTCAACAGGAGAGTCCCGTTGACATTGAGCAGGTGTGGGAAGGCGACGTCGCTATCGCCAGAGGCCTCGAGAAGCTTCTGGTCATTCCCCCAACTATAGCCGTCGTCAGAGGACTTGATGATGTGGACCGTCCACCTTTCGATATCTCCAGGAGACAGGGCGTGAAAGATACAGCTATCAATACCCTCGTGGTTAGCCCAACTCGTGTAGGAGAACAACCGGTCTCAACTTGCAAGAGGTCATCACCCCACTCAATTATCCGTGGGTGGTACTGCAAAACCCCACGCTTCTTTTGGGTAACAGTGTGATGGTCGTACTGCCCTGGCATCCACGAGCGGCCTTCAGTGTCTGACCACATCATGTTGATGGTCCTTGTCCCTTCGTCTTCTTTGCTGCCCTCGACGTAGTAAAGTTGCACTACCGTGCCGTTCCGGGATAGCCGTAGGTATGCGTCCCAGAGTGACACCGTTACAGTCCCTCCGCCATCCGATTGGCGGCGGCGCTCCACTGGCTCCAAGTCCTCCCAGGTGTTCCCGTGGTCGCTCGACAAATAGAAAGAAAAGCGGTCAAAATCATACGGCATGATCCCCATCTGCAGATAAGCAACAAGTATCTTGCCCGAAGGGAGCTGCACAGCCGTGGGCGGCTTGTCGGACGCGAGATTCAGGCCAGGAAGTTTTTCAACGGCAATGTACTTCAGATGTGTCCAAGAGTCCTCCCCTTTCATCATGATAGCTACACCGATGCTGTCACCCTTGTCTGTTTCGTTCGTGCAGATGGCCATCACCCCGGTGTTGTTGTTCCCGTCGCGGTAGGCAGTCGCGCTGACACCACCAGCGTATTCGGCAATCATCCTGTGCTCTCCAACGGCGTGGAGGTCAGGGAAATCGTCGTTGTCGCGAGCGGCTCGGATGTGAAGAGGGTCAGTGGAAGAAAGGAACGGCCAGCGGAAGATGGGATCCGCTGCTGCGACGGCCGCGCTGGCGGCAAGAGCGAGGGTGAGAAGGCTCCGCATCGTAGATACTCTGCTCAAGTAGATGCAAAAATTCTTGAGAACTGACTGTAGGCTGCAAGATTGCAAAGGGAAAGTGATCAGTTTTGAAACCTTTTTCGAGAGTGGAATGCGAGGAAGGAGGCGGGTGGGGGAATATAATAGTGCGGGGAATTTCCTAGACACGCCACCTGAGTCACTGTCAAATCTGTAACTTCGAATAGGATGGAAATGGTAGGTAAAATACCACCCAGGAGAGTCGGTCGGGGAGTCACCTCCTAACATCAAATCGCAACTTACACCCGCCCAAGCTTAGGACTCGCCCTTGTCCGCCTAATTGCAATAATTCTCATCCTCGCGCCTCGTCATTCCCAAAATCACCGGATCAAGCATACCAAGGTAGGTGTCTCCTGTATGTGGTGACTCGCCATGAATCGAAAAATTGTGGGGCACCATTTTTTGAGAGACCTCAAGCAAATCCGCTTCACCAGGATCCAATGTCTCTCGTGTTGCGCTTGCGCCGTTGCTCGGTGACCTTTCAGATGCAATTCACATGGCAACCCGTGAGAAATATTAGTTACACTTGTCACAGGTGACCACCCAAAGGGAGGATGAAAAGAATGGGCTTCATAAAGGGGCATCCCTTTTTGATCTCCCCAGGGTTAGGGTTTGGGAAAGGGGTCATCGAGACCCCTTGAAGGTGATGCCCCCAACCAGACTGCGCCTTGGCTATTTTTGTATCATCAATAGCGATCTCGCAAACATCAACTCAGTCCTTAGCGGAATTATCCGCTGGGCTGCGTGTTGCGACAAAGCATCGACGCTCGAAGGTCCAGCTGTCAAAGCAAAGAGAAACCCACAAAATTCCCAATCCGGCCAACGGTTCCCTCACAAAGAGAGGTGGTCGGTCCCCCGAATAAACTCGCCGCCATGGCAGGCAGAGCATGTTTTTTTGCAACCCTCAATTCAACCACTTTTATCCCCAACATACTTATCCAAATTCACATCAAGATAGCAATCATGGCGTCCAGCTCCACCGCGGCGCTCCCCGAGGAGTGCTGGGTCAACATCTTTGAGCAAATTTCGGAGAAGGAGAACGAAGTCAGTTGCAACGTCTTCCACGTGGCCCACCCCGCCTCGGGCCTGGACGAGGACGACGAGGACGGCAATCCCCCCGACCGCAGCACGCTGCAAAACTTTATCCCCGCGCGCGCTTCCGAAGCCCTCTGGCGCATGCCGGCCAAACACCACGGGGCCATCACCCAGGTGAACAGGGGCCTTCGCAAGGCTGCGCTGACGCACGGAGCCTTCATCTTTGGGCCCGGCGGAGAGGCGAACCCCAACACGCCCGGCGGCGTGTACTTTCGATGGGACCACGATATTCTGTGGCTCGACTGGACCTTTTGGGCCCAGCATTTCGACTACGAGGACGAGTGCCACGAAAAGTGGATGGACGATCAGGACACGTGGGACGACAACCTCGAGCGCTGGGGCGTGGGCAGCCTCATCAGCCCGAGATTTCCGCACCCGAAGCCAAGATGGGCGAATTACAGTCCTGCGGTCCTGCCGGCGCTGCTAAAGAGCCACAAGAACAAGATTCAGCACATTGGCCTCCCGCACCAGCTCGTCTGGGCCCAGCTTGGGTTCAGAAGAATGTTCGAGGCCGTATACAAGAACTTTCCGAATGTCGAGTACTTTTGGATCTACGAGCACAACTGGGCCAAGCGGCCGCGCGGGGTGGACAACGACGTGTACTTAACGGTGGACAAGCTGTCGGTGGGAGAGAAGCACCACCTCAACATCCGCAAGTACCACGAGCAGGTCGAGAATACGACCAATGGCCAGATTAGCAACGGTAGGGAGATCAAGGCGAGGGCGCTGAAGCACGCGAACCACTTGCGGCGCAAATCATGGTGGAAGCGGAACCCCGACGTGGCTCCGAGGGCGGTTCGGTTCCGTAGGATCACGCTGTATCGGCCTTTTTATTACCCCGACGGGGAGGAAAGGGTAGAGACCCCCAGGTACGTTGAAACAATGCACATCTGGGATGCCGACAGTGCCTTGGATGCCGATTCAAGCTTTTTCGAAGCCTCGGAGGAAGACGATGCAGTGGATGACGCCGAAATGGATGACGTTTAGGCGGTGGTTAAGACGGGCTCGGATTCATGTAACGATATTTGTGGCTTAGTGCCTGTACGTAGATTTTCATGTTTCCTGTCGTTCCCAATAGTCAGTGAAGGGAAATAGAAGAGTGCATTGTCAATTCGGGGATAAGGGCTTGGCTGGAGACCATTCAGCTCGACTTCGCAAGCGCACAGCAGTCATCCCAGAAGCAAAAATAATAGAAAGGAATGCCCAATAACAGGATTGAACTGTTGACCTTCGCATTACTTGATATCCCATTTTGAAAGATATTAGTACGACGCTCTAACCAGCTGAGCTAATCAGGCTTTTGATTGTTGAAGAAACGCTCCGCAATAAAGGTAAAGTGTGGTCACCCGGTGGAGTTCAGTAGGTCGTCAACTCAGGGGTTCCCTGAGCCCTCGGGAACGAGAACTTGGTCTCCACAAACACTTTCTGCATCGAATCCTCCTTGGCGTCAAACTTGTAGTAGACCTTGTCCATGTCCTCGAGGCGCACACGGTGTGAGACCATCTGCAGGGGATCAATCTCGCCCTTCCTGACCTTCTCGAGCAGCTCATTCCAGTACTTATGCACTGGCGCTTGTCCGTTTCCAATCAGCCGGATTCCGCGCTGCATCAAACTCCCGACGTTGAAGTGGTTGGTCTGTCCAGGTTAGCTTGCATCCAGCCTCGCTTCCAACAGGGGAAAACTCACATATCCCACGTAGACGCAGGTGATTCCACATCGTCCATAGTTCCTAACGCCCTCCACCATCTCATTCAGAATCTCGCTGGTGTCAGTCTCGGCTCCAAGGGACATCTCAAGCCAATGCATCCACCCCTTTGCGTACTCTCCTGCCGCACACTCAATCGCCACATCGGGTCCCTTTCCACCTGTAAGCTCCTTTAGCTTGCTAACCACCGTCTCCTTGTTGGTGACGCCGAAGCTGAGCTTCTTGAAGTCAACAAGGACAAGCTTGTCTTTGTGCTGTGGAGGGAAGCGCTCCGAGACAAAGGAGAGGCGCGGCTCGGTGTCGACAAAAAGGATCTTGGAGGCGCCTTCGTCAAGGGAATAGGACCCCGCCATTTGCCCGATTGGGCCGGCGCCAAAAATGGCCACCACGTCCCCAGGGTAGACGGCGGTGTCCTTGACAGCGTTGTAAGCCGTGGGAAGGACATCGGACAGGTAAAGCGCTGCAGCCGCCAGTCAATCTCAGTCTCACGATCGAAAATAAGGAACACTGCATACCCTTCTCATCCGGCACATCATCCGGAATCTCCAACAAGTTAACGTCCCCCAACGGCACCCTCACATACTCGGCCTGCCCGCCCGCAAACCCCCCCGTGAGGTGACTATACCCAAAAATCCCCGCCGTCCGTCCCCCATACATGGCCTTGGTCATCGTGTTCGAATTCGTCATCTCGCACTGGCTGCTCAGTTTTTGCTTGCAAAAGAAGCACTCCCCGCACGCAATCTGAAAACTCGCCACATATCTCTTTCCGACTTGAATCCCCTTGACCGCCGGCCCGACGCTCTCGACGACTCCGCAGAATTCATGCCCGAGGATGTCACCTTTGTTCATCTGCATGACGGCGCCGTGGAGTAGGTGCAGATCGGAGCCGCAGACGGTGGTGCCGGTGACTTTGAGGATGACGTCGCGGTCCTCGATGATTTTGGGCTTGGGCACGTCGACGACTTGGACCTTTTGCTTGCCTTGCCAGACGAGGGCTTTCATGGTTGAGCTGGGGACGCCTTGGTCTTGGCCTTGGTAGTTGGCGATGTCTTGCTTGATATTTTCCTTGTCGTGGCCGATAGCCTTTTCGGCGGCGTAGGCGGCTTGCGAGGTCATACTGGTGGTTTGTTGCTCTCTTGGTTTGTTGCGTGTTTGATGTGGGTGGGTTGAATTGGATGTTCAATAGCAGTTATTAAAGCGAGGAACAACGTTCGACGAGTCCTCACGACGGGCTGTGGAGGTATCCTCCTATTTAATACGAGACTAGCATCAAGGGCGGACAAATGGGCGGTTGGTCCTCCATGATGACGATTTTGCCCGTCATGTCAATCCAAAGGCACGTAGATCGTGTTCTGTTTGCTTGCCGGAGGAAAATGGTAGACGTCATCGCCGCCACCGCTTGCCCTTTGAGCGGCCCCGTGGGGTGCCCCGCACTGCCACCGTGAACCCCACCAAAAAGGTAATTTAAACATCATCAAAGGCAGAAACGGAAAAGAGGTGGTATGCACGGTCGTGGAGGATACGGATAAGCTCGAGCTCGTGGTACTCAATTGGGCTGATGTTGCAAGATGCTTCCTGCATCAAAAGGCGGAGCAAAACGGCCGAGTGCCCCTGATTTCAGATCCCATAGGGCTGACCAATCAGAATGCTCAGCTCAACGACACCGTCCCCAAACCCCTAAGAACGACATTGACTCGTGAAGACGCGGAGGGTTGAATGGGCATAAAATACACCCTGGCAGATTCACATCAGGTGTATACACGCAAAGAGTCGAGGTATGTCAAATCGTGAGGTTATACAAGATACATATCGTCTTCACTCGTAAATTGCCTATCAGTTCGGCAAAGCAACCCCCTTAGGCAGGCTTGACCTGCTCACCAGACGACCCATTTGCCTGGGAATGCCACTCCTCCATAGGTATCTCATTCCCTGCACCAGAGACTCTTGATCCACCGTCGCTAAGACTGGCACTCCGTCGCGGCTCGTATTCGCCTGGCTCGGCATCGCCAGCAGTCCCGACAAGCGGCCAAGGCGATATATCCTCCAGGCTCTTGTTCTCCAGCTGTGAATGCAAAACTTTATCCAAAAACCCACTTCCACGCCATTCCAGTGATCTTCCCTTTTGCACATCCGGGAAAGCAATCCCGTATGGCTCCAGCCAGACCAGGACGGCCATGATAACCAACACGATGCAGAACATGGCCAAAACAACGACGATCCCTATCTTCCCCTTGCCAGCTCCCTTGATGATGCCCCTAGCAATGATAGCACCGACTTTTCCGAAAGCGGCCGCGATGCCATAGCTGGTCCCTCGGAACTCGGTGGGGAAAATCTCGGCGGCGAGGATGAACGTGAGGGTATTGGGCCCGAGGTTGAACAGTAGCTGGGCGACGACGTAGAAAACCATGCTGACTTCGTGGTCCGACTTGGCGTAAGTCTGCGAGACGGAGATGGCCATAATGGCGAAGAGGGCCGCCAAGGACCATGTCGTCCAGAGGTAGTGTGTCTTTCTGCTCAGGCGGTTGACAAGCGGGATGACGAGGAGGCTGCCAAGCAAGGCGGCGATGCAAGAGAGATAGAGCGTGCGTACGAGGTTGCGGTCGATGGTCTCCACGATGGTAGCGTTAGGGTAGGCCGGGTCCACGTTCCAACTTGGGGGCGTGGCAGAAGGTGGCGGAGGCGGCTTGTCCAGCCAGAGTGCAGCGAGGGTGCCAGGACTATCGAGGCCGACACCATACCAGACAATGTCAAGAAGTAGCCACTGGATGGAGATGGCTGCGAGCAATTTCCATCCCTTCCCTTCCCCAAAATAGTATTCCCGAGCCATCTTCCTCCACGATCTCTTCTCGAGAATTGACGACGCGTCGTCCGGACCGGCAACCATGATGCGCTCAATGTCGGCGATCATCTCTGGGGTGCGTGTGCCAAGCATGGTGAGAGACTCTCGGGCTTTTTTGATGTCGCGTTTGACGGCCGAGTAGAAGCGCGGGGTTTCAGGAATGAAGAGACGGAAGACGAGGGCGAAGACGGCGGGGATACCAGCGAGGCTCAGTGCGAGACGCCAAAAGATGTCGAGAGAAATCTTTGTTTGATCGAGCACATCTGCGGCGTCGGAGTCAATCTGCCCGGTGAGGCCATGGAGAGCGCCCAGGCTGATGCCGTATGCGAGGATGCGGCCGACCGACTGGGCGAGGAACACAGCTGCCAGCATGACTCCGCGCCATCGCGTTGGGGAGAACTCGGCGGCAATGACTGCTGACATCGGGTACTATAGTCAAAGGTTGCGTCAGATCGGAGCCCCGAGTCACCGGGAAGGCAAGACTGGAAAGAGGGTCTTAGGCACTAGTTCCCTGACGTCGAGTAGATGCCAAAGGAGGAGAAAGAAGAGGCCATGAAATAAGGAGCGCGCGGGCGAGCCAAAAAGACAAACTTACCTCTGCGCCAATACCCAGACCAAGAAAGGCTCGAAAGACGAACAGCGCTGCATAAATATCCAAGGAACCCGGCCTGTCCTGGTGGATGATGAACCCGGCGCTGGAGAAGGCAGCTCCGCCAACGGCCACCAAGACGATGATGACCTCAATTCCGTACAGCTTGCTTCTCCCCATTTGATCCGCGAGCAGGCCGAACGCTACCATGCCCACGATGGTGGTGGTCAATGTGACCATATCGAGCACGAGCGCTGCGTCGCCGTCGAATTGGCCATGGCGATTGTAGATGAAGTACAGCGCCGGCGTGATGATGGAGATGGCAATTAGCGACCAACTCGAGGCCAGGAAGCCCAGAAAGGCGACAAGATAAACCCGCCAGCTGAAGCCGATGCGGTTGAGGATGATAGCGATTCTGTCGTCTCGACGCTCCCGCTCCTGCCACCTTCGTCAACAAAAATCAGGATTTTCTCCGGGGCGCGCCTGCCTACCCCGATGTGTCCAACATCCTTGGAAACCACAAAGTGGATCCAAAATTCCTGTGCCTTGTCCCAGATGCCGCTCATTTGTCTCTGGCGATTCGATTCCGTGCCACGAGACAGGTCGATCAAATTCGGATTTCCCGATGACGAACTTCACTGCCTGCCCAACCACCTGACTCCCCGCAGCGGACCGCTCGACCATTATTTAACGAAATCGCAGTGCGCAAGCTGCGACGCGCAGGGAATTGTACATTTTTGGATGAAAAAGTGCCTTGTCGCCTCGATTTCGGCAAACCGGTGTGTAGCTGGTGGTTGCCCGGCTGCCTCGGCGGCTGATTCCGAGACCTATCACAGCGCCGGGATTGAGCACGCTGTCAAACGGATTCACGGATTCGCATCGGCACCAGCGCTGTGGCGCCCACCCCCCGCTCGGTATGATGCAACGCTGTGCCCCTGACAGTCGCAGACCTGGCAAACCTAGCCCTCGCAACCCGCATCCCCAGCTTTTGGGACGAAGAGCCTCCCTTTGACACGTGGGGCACAAGCCAGACGGCGGTCATCCCTTCCCGTTTTTCTTACCGACCTCATCCTGCCCCAACCGCATCCCCGGATTCTCACGCGACACTGCAACACGCCATGCGTACCCGACGGGTGGGCCGACTGAGATAGCGCAAAGAGATACC